TCTTTCAAAAATAAGGGTAATTATCTGTTTAAAGCAAAAATTATGAACATATATTGTGATGTTTAAAACATATTGGAAAATTAAAATGTACAACAAAAGAACAAGGGATAGGAGGGTTAAATGAACTGTTCCAAGGTTCTTAAATTACATATCATGGTGGTGTAATGTTGCCTGAAGATGAACTGTGATTAAACAAACAGAGTGATAAAAATCACAAATGCACACAACTAACTACAGTTCTGTACCTACACTGTTAGCCACATTTAACATGATTCTGAGGGAGCAGGACTGACCTTATGTACAAGTCCCCTTTTCCCGCAAAAATGAATGAAAAAACAAAGTCAGCATCTTTTAAACCAGTGGCCACATAGTAAAAACTGTACATCGTTGTCCATTCATTTAAAAAGCAAAGTCACTAGGATGGTATAAAAGTGATAACTGATGCCTTTTTAACTTTCTGAACTTCTTATTTCAAATTCTAGAGCACCACTAAAAAATCCTAACAGATAAATATAACTAATAACCCTGGCATTGGAGTTAAAATAGAATAAAAAATATTCAGCTAATCCAAAAGAAGGCAGGAAAAGAAGAGAAAGGAACAATGTTCACATGAGACAAAAAGAAAATAAAAACAAGATGGCAGATTTAAAACCAGTTATACTGATTATTACATGAAAAGCCAATGATCAAATAAACACTCTGCTTAAAAGAAGTGGATTGTCAGATTCAGATATGCTATCCACAAGAAACTACGTTAAATATAAAGATACAAATGAAAGGATGAAAAAAGATATACCACATAGACACTACTCAAAAGAAAATACCATTGGCTATGTTAATTTTAGACGAATGAGGCTTCAGAACAAGGAGAGTGCTTCATAATGGTAATAGGTCAGTTCATAAAAAAAGACATAATCCTAAATGTATGTGCAACTAAAAGAATTTCAAAACACATGAAGCAAAAACTAACACAACTGAAAGGACAAATAGACAAATCTCAATCATGATTTCAGATTTCAATAGTACTCGATTAAAAAAAACAAGTCAACAAGAAAATCATAAGGATAGACAAGACTTGATGAATATTCTCAAGAACTTGACCTGACATTTATAGAACCCTTCACCCAAAAGCTTAAAAAACATTCTGTTGAAGGCTCCATGGAACATTCTTCAAAACAGACCACATTCTGGGCTATAAATAACAAGTCTCAATAAACTTACACTGAAATCAAACTGTTTTCCAACTACAATAGAATTAAACTAGAAATGAATAACAGAAAGATATCTGGAAAACATTTAGAAATAAAACACTTTTAATAATCAATGAGTTAAATTAAAAAGTCAAAAGAGAAATTACAAAGTATTTTGAACTGAATGAAAATGGAAACAACATATCAAGATCAGTGGCACACAGCTAAAATAATGTTTACAGGAAATTTTTAAACATTTAACATTATAGTAGAAGACTGGTCAAAATCATTATCTAGCTTCCATTTTAAGAAACTATAAAGAAACAAAATGAAAGCAGAAAGAAGGAAAACAGAAAAAAAAGTAGAATTCAATGAATTTAGAAATGGACAAGAGAGGAAAATCAATAAAACCAAAAGTTGGTTCTTTGAAAGATCAAGAAAACTGATAAACCTCTCTCAAGAGGACAAAAAAAGAGATCAGTAATGCCAAAAACAAAAGAGAAGACAGATGCTACAGACATTAAAAAAGTATAAGGAATTTTATAAACCACCTCTGCCAACTTGAATGTAATGGACAAACTCCTTGAAAGACACAAACAAACAATGCTTACTGAAGAAACTGAAAATCTTTACAGCCCTGTATCTATTAAAGGAATTTAATGTATAGTTAAAAGCCTCCTCACAAACAAGATTCCAGGTCCAAATAGTTTCCCGGGTGAATTCTATAGAAATTTAATAAAGAAATATTACCATTCTATACAAACTTTTCCAGAAAATAGACTCAGTCTATGATGCCAGGTTTATACCCTGATAGCAAAACCAGACAAAGACACTGCAAGAACAGAAAACTATAGACCAATATTTCTTAGAATGCAGAAACCCTTAACATTTTAGCAAACTGGATCCAGCGATAAAACATTATGACCAAATGGTGCATGACTAACCCAGGAATGCAAGGTTAGTTTAAAAATCAACATTTAAAAATCAATTAATGGGGTTTCCTTGGTGGCACAGTGGTTAAGATTCCACCTGCCAATACAGGGGACACGGGTTCATGCCCTGGCCCAGGAAGATCCCACATGCCGCGGATCAACTAAGCCCATGCACCACAACTACTGAGCCTGTGCTCTAGAGCCCATGAGTCACAACTACTGAAGCCTGAGTGCCTAGAGCCTGTGCTCCGCAATAAGAGAAGCCATGACAATGAGAAGCCCGTTGCACAGCAAGGAAGACCCAATGAAGATCCCACAGCCAAAAAAAAAAAAAAAAAAAAACCTCAAAAAAAAATCAATTAATATAATTCACCACATAAACAGACTTTAATAAGAACTCTAGGATCATATCAACAGAAGCAGAAAAGCCACATGACAAAATCAACATCCATTTTGGATAAAAATGCAGCAAACTAAGAATAGAAGGATTGGGACTTTCCTGGTGGTCCAGTGGTAAAGAATCCACCTTCCAATGCAGGGGACGCGGGTTCAATCCCTGGTCAGGGAACTAAGATCCCACATGCTGCAGGGCAACTAAAGCCCACATGCCACAACTACTGAGCTCATGTGCCTCAACTAGAGCCAGCGTGCTGCAAACTAAAGAGTCCTGGCGCTCTGGAACCCGCACGCCACAACTAGAGAAGAGAAAACCTACATGCCACAGCTAGAGAGAAGCCCAAGCACCACAACGAAGAGCCCGAGCACCGCAACAAGAAAGATCCCGCGTGCCTCAACGAAGACCCCACGTGCCGCAACTAAGACCCGACGCAGACTTAAAAAAAATAAAGAAAGAAATAAAAATCTTAAAAAAATAAATAAATAAAAAAGCCAGTGCTTTCTTTAAAAAAATAGAATACAAGGATACTTTTCAACCTGATAAAGAATATCTACAAAAAACTAAGAGCTAACATCATACCTGACAAAAGACTAGATGCTTTCTGAGGTGATAAATATGTTCTAAATCTTGATTGTGGTGGTGCTTATATGACTATAGTTATTAAAACTCATACTGTATAATTAAAATTGGTAAAATTTATTGCATGTAAGTTATGACAGTAAAGCTGATTTTAAAAACTTCCACCATATTTTCTTCAGGGTTGTTTAAAAGAAGGTTAGTCCTCTAAACAAGGGTGTTGATTATATTTACATTACAAGTTAAACCTTAAATATGGAGATGGCTGCTCCAGTCCATAATGAGAATCTGATATTCAATTCTTAAACAACTGAGAATTTCTGCTAAAATGGATTAGCATTAATCAATAACAAAATAATACATACTACTACATCAACAAAAGAACTAGCTTTAATCTTTATATAAGTATTCTTATGGTTTTATGGTACCTAAGTATACTTCTAACAAAGCACTTAAATATATAAATTACCTGCCAGTTGACTGAACTAATTCAAATGTTGCTAAGAATTGAACTAGAATTTTCATTTTATCTTACACTTGGAATTTATTTTCCTCAAGCCAAATCACTCAACTACCATGAAAATATTCAAGAAGTGGGACTTTTTAATTATAAAAATAAATGTACAAAATGCAATCCATTATTACTTTATTATTTTCTAATCACTAAAGAAAAGTCTTTTTGAATTGCTCAGTCATATCCACAAGGCCTAATTATATTACTAGAGAAAATGAGATTTCTTTTACCTCAAAGCAGATAGCTAATATTATAAGAACCTCTGCATTTCTACTATGCTAAAGATGGACAGAAATACATAAAATTTGCCTAATACTTCTGTTGAAGGAAAAAACAAATGATTAAAGGCATATACAAATACAGGCTCTATAAATTAAAATTTATTAACTTAAGGGAGAAGATAGGCTATTTCAACTCTAATACCAGTGGATAACAGGTATTGCCCCATATTCCAATCGTTATTAAAACTGAAAGTTAGCACTTCTCACCAGACAACCTAGCATGTACGTACAGAACTTAGCTGACAGTCAAGATTAAACGGTATGGCATACATACACCTAAGTAAAAATGAGCTTGATTTTTTAGATAGGACATGGGCATCCTAACTTGTTTATTCTTTAAACAATACTTGTTTATCAAAAGAGGTCATTAAGAATAAATAAAGCTAAAATGAAATTGGCTCATGTTTTCAAACCATTAAATTTTGGAATCCATTCAAATCACTGAAGTTTCATGGTTATCTTGTATTCATTTTAAATGCACATAAACATAATATTCTGCCTTTATAACCCAACTCTGACTAGTTTCTGAATAGTTTAATCGGACAAAGTAAACATAAAAGCAGGCTTGTTTTTAAAACAGTGAGGATATCTACACACTCCTTACAAATACAACTCAAACCATACAAACCATATTAAGCTAGTGCTGCTGAATAAATAGTAACATCACAAACAAGCTACCTCTTGCACATTCACAAATATTGCTATGAATTTTTAAAAGAAAAATTCATGTGTAAAATGAGTTAAAAAATAGTATTAGATTTAAAATGTTGCAAACACTCAAATTACTGATTTAAATCATATCTATGATTAAACAGTAGCATAATTTAATAACTGAGTTATTCTAAACTCCAGAATAAGGTAAGTTTAACATTTTAGTATTTGACTTAGCCATTTAATAAAGAGAAGTCCAACAAAAGTGTGACTGGCTAACAAAACTGCTTTCAAATATCAGATGGTTACATCTAGAATTAATACTCAAGATAATCAATCCTAATGAGAACGATATACCTCTTTCAAATTTTAGCTTGAATCAGGAACATTTGACAAACTATTGGTGTAGCAAAAGTGAAATTTTATATCAAACCTCTTGCAATGATACTTCTATCCTACCTGTATCTTCAATAAATTCCACACATTTTTCAACAAATAGTGGTATGGGCTTCTCAGCTGTAACCAGATCCTGGAGGGGCATCCCAAAGTAATTACTTTCCCAATTTCTACGTGTTGGTGGATTGAAGTTCTTAGTTTTCTTTTTCTGCTATAAGAAAACATATTCAAGTTAAAACTATTAAAATTAATTTCCTTCAGAAAAACATTAGTATTAAGCAATGTAAATAAACATTTTGTATCAAAAGATATATTTAAGAGCCATATCCAACCTAAATGTCCATCAATACTGGGTTCATTAAATAAATTCTGCTAGAAGCAGCAACGTGACCAAGAGAAAGAGACAAAAGTGAACAGACAAAAAAATGGCTGAATAGAAGAAACCTTTCCCTTTGGAAAATAATAGAAAACTGGATAGGCAGGGAAATTAGAAAAGATCATCTTTCAATGCCAAGTGAAAAGAAGAAACTAGGAGTAAGCAATGCTCAATTCAGTTTCAGTGTGGTCTGTTGACTGGTGCATTTGTTATTTGGTCTTTGGGGAAGTTCCAAGTGAGATTTTTGTGCATAGCTATATTAGTAAGAATATAACATAGCTTTAATTATTGATTATACAATGAAGCTATGCAACTCCATGAGTTTTAACCCCATCATTTCCCCATTTTCTTCCTATCTATTGACTCTATTTCTTAAATATTAAGATAATTTTTATAAAAGAAAATAACATCCTAGTGGGAAAGGAGATGTTAATTTAGTCTATTAAAAATGTTTTATTAAGCACCCCAAAAAAGGTAATTTTTATAAGTAATGGACAAAACATTTTCAGAATAATAAACAAAATTATGTAAAATTTTCAAAGTTTAATTTCAATATTGCATTGGGAGAAAATGGGTTTTTAACCAGGGAGCGAACATTTCAAAAACCTAAGGAAATACTGCCTGGAATTCAACCCTTAAGGAGATTCTGAGTCAGTCTTCCTTAAGTAGGGTGTATTTATATTTGTCGTAAGTATTGTTACTGACTTACAAATCACATAAAAACATACCATTTCTAATCAGAAAAGTGTGTGCGGGGGCAGGGGAGGGAACACAGGCAGAGCTTTCAATGCTTAAAGCAACAGTCCTCATTTTAATTTCCAGAGGAGTCTCTCCTTTGGATGGATTGATCTTTCATTGTGTTCTTCCAAGTTCCAAGTTATGCAACTGATACCCTGCATAATCAATCAAGTCCTTTCTTCATTTCAATTTCAGGCTGCTCTACCTAGCAAACTTCTAGATCTCATGAAATCCAACTTCTAAGTCTTCATATATTATCACTCTAATGATGCAGATTACATAAACTCTATGGTAGGTACAGATTACATACAATATAACTAGTCGTCTGAAATGTTACCAACAAAGTTTTGGAATACTTGGTCTGGCTCAAGACCTAGCCCACCAAGTCAAGTAGTGTGGATCCTTCCTTACTCCTTAAACAATCCTTCCACTACCACCACCACCAAAACAGAACAATGTGCAAGAACGCAGAAATGAAGAGACTGTAATTTCAAAGCTGAGGTAGGGATACAGCGACTGGGTCCTCTTCTTTCTCAGGAGCACTAAGGTGCTTTCCAGCCTGCAAACTATTAGCTGCACCATTTGATTACAAAAGGGAAAACTGAGGCAAAGATGGATGTTTTTGTTTAGAGAGATAATACAGTGGTGAAAAAGATTTCACTTAAGCAAGGTAATGAAAACAGCAATGCCTAACCTATGGCAGGAGCAACAGGAATAAAAGATCTTAATCTGCAATGACACCTAAAAAACAAAGTTGTAAGAAAAGTAAGCTAGCTAGTCCTAACTGTTCCAATCAACTCTTAAGAAATTCTCTTTTCATATTACCCTTTAGGAACCAAACTAAACTCTGAATACTTCACTAAAATTGGGGGTAGATTTCTCTGGCTTATGCTCAGGGAATATCCATCCCTCAAAGCCCATAAAGTTACAAGGGCAAGTTATTTAATCCTGCAGTTACTCCAAGATCAGATTACACCAGTAATCTGAGGCAATGAAATGCTAAGTGGCTTATAGCATGGAATTTCTGGCAAAGTATAAAGGGATAATTTACTAACATACAACTGGCCTGACAGTCATGTTATAGTTCACATATATGGGGGAAAAAAGCATAAAAAGCTTATGTGACTTTACCAATTTTTCTACTAATTTACACTGGTGCAAAAGAAAACTCTATGTAGGAAAACAGTTTTGAATTAGACATTCCTATATTAGCTTTTATGATGAATAAAAACATATATAACTTTTTTTCTATAAGTGATAGTTCTTAAGCATAAGAATCACTTCAGGGAGTTCTTTAAAAATGTGAATTTTGAAAAATTCTACATTATTCTAACATACAACCCTTAGTTAAGAGTTGCTAATCTATAGCTACAAATTTATACCAATTCAGGGCTTCCCTGGTGGCGCAGTGCTTGAGAGTCCGCCTGCCGATGCAGGAGACGCGGGTTCGTGCCCCGTTTCGGGGGGATCCCACATGCCGCGGAGCGGCTGGGCCCGTGAGCCATGGCCGCTGAGCCTGCGCGTCCGGAGCCTGTGCTCCGCAAATGGGAGAGGCCACAACAGTGAGAGGCCCGCATAACGCAAGAAAAAAAAAAAAAAAAATTATACCAATTCAAATTAACTTATATAATTTAAAATCTATTTCATAAATTAAACTAAGGCTAGATGATTACAACTGCTATAAAATCCCATCAAGGTTCTCTGAAATGCAAGAAAAAGATGAGGCATATGGTTATTTGGTCATTTATATCTATAGCTTTTGATGAACCAATAGTCAGAAATGGCAGGTCCCAATAAATAATTATGCCAGCAGGAAAACAGGATCTGATTTATGATAATCCAACTTTTGATTCATTACTACATTCATACAAATCTTAATTTCTGCTTAAATGCAAATACCCATGGTCTTTTCTTCCTGGCCACTTAGGCAAATCTCATGTCTGCAAAAGCATATCCAGTAAAATAAACATTGTATTTCACAAATAATATAAACAATGTTATCAGTTAAGTGTCCAGTGGATATTAAAAACTATCATTAGTGTAAGTAAACAGGAAAAGGCATATAAATAGCTCTTTACAGAATCTGCTCTTCCACTTCAGCAATATCAGCAACACAACAAAGGAGAGCATCTAAGCAACATCCTCAAATATTCAATAAATACTATCGATACAATCAATAACACTGAAAAAAACAATACCTCAATTGCTTCATATGTAACCAACAAATTGCAGAAAACTTAAGTAGCAAAAAACAGTTGAGGAGGCTTTCAAAGAATAAATCCAGGAAACAAGAAATTTTGGACTTCTCTATTCTCTTAAATTTATTATGGGATTCTTGAAATAAAAGATTAAAGAAGTAATGAGACAACCAGAGGCAAAATGTAAAGAAAGTGAAGGGAAAAACCCATTAAAGAAATGAATACCGCTTTAGTAGAAGACCCAATATGATTGAAAAGATCAGAATAAAATGGAAAAGATCATCAGAGTTCTCTTTTCTACTGTATCATTTCTTTGACACACGCCAAAAAAGACTTTTGCTCCCATTTTTAAAAGAAGTCTTAATCTTCTTCTCTCTGCTAGCTACTGCTCCAGAATTCTACTCCCTTTTGTAGAACAAACTACATAAATCATCTATACTAGCTGTCTCCAATTCCTCTCCTTCCATTCCCTCTTATATGTACTTATATTAGTTTATCACTCTCATCACTCCACTAAATCTGCTTTTATTAAGTTCACGAATGACTGTTTTGCAATAGTCAGTTCTCAGCTCTCATCTTACTTTTCAGCAGTCACTCTCTTTAGTGGACTTTAGGAGACGACCTCTATTATCTCACTTGTTCTCCCCTTATTAGTCTCCTTAGCTTGTCCCTCCTCAGCAACCTTGTAATACTGTGAATACCCCAGGCCTCAGTCCCTGCCTTTTTTTCTCAATATCTATAATCACCCTCTTGGTAATGTCATCCATATGCTGCTAACCCAAATTAATACTGCCAGCTCAGCTCTTTCTCCTGAACTCCAGACTCATCTGAAACCTTCTACCTGACTCTTCACTTGAATGTCTAAGAGATATTTCTTTCTTAACGTGCAAAACTGAACTCCTGATGATTTCCTTAAAATGAGCTCCATCTCCAGCCTTCTACATCTCAGTTGCTGGCAATTCCATCCTTTCAGCTGCCAGGCTAAAATCTTGGAGTCATTTTTGATCCCTCTTATTTTCTCACACCTTACTTCCAAATCTATGAGATCTTAACCATCTTCACTGCTAATTCCCTGGTCCATACAGCTATCACCATTTCACATATGTAGATTACTGCGTTGACTGCTCAATCAATCCTCCCTGCTTCTACCACCATTCTCCACATACCGTTCTCAATAAAGCACCCAGAATGATAGTGACCCACAAATAACAGCCTTCAAGGCCATATATAATCTAGCATGCTTTGAACTTGGCTTCTATATATTCTGACCTCATTTTCCTCTACTTTCTCCATCATTTTACTCCCTTTCCTTACTTCCTTGTGCAAGTAAGTTACACAGCTTACTTGCTTTTTTAGCAATTGACACATGCTCCTAACTTAGGACTTTTGCATTGGCTGTTCCCTTTACCTTCTCAGTAAGGCCTACACAGACTATTAAAAATTGTGATCTGGGCTTCCCTGGTGGCGCAGTGGTTGAGAGTCCGCCTGCCGATGCAGGGGACACAGGTTCGTGCCCCGGTCTGCGAAGATCCCACATGCCGCGGAGCGGCTGGGCCCGTGAGCCATGGCTGCTGAGCCTGTGCGTCCGGAGCCTGTGCTCCGCAACAGAGGCCACGACAGTGAGAGGCCTGAGTATTGTAAAAAAAAAAAATTGTGATCTATGGCCTGTCTTTCTCTAACTACTGCCCAGTACTTCTAATCCCTCTTACACTGCTTTTCCTACCCACAACACTATATAAATTTTCTCATATATCATCATCATCATCATTATTATTTTGGTGTACGCCTGCTACAATTTAAGCTCCACACAAGGGCACGGATTTTTATCTGCTTTGTTCATTAACATACTCCAATGCTCTGGAATTCTGCTTGTGAGAAAAAGTGCAAAGATAGTCGAGG